TAGTTATAAAGGGAAAACTAGTCTTGTTTGCTTGCCTTCATTGTGATTTTTGGGATGACTGGATTTTGGCATGTTCTACATTTCGATATAGAGCACCATGCATATGTAACATCTAAGTTTTAAAGCATTTTGTAAATTTTCGGAAGACTGGTTTTCCGCTGTTATGTAGCATGTTTGTGTATTGGGGCACCATGCATACATATGCCATATTTCTGTTGAAAACTGTCGTTCCCGACATTTGGCTGCAGTTTTTCTCGACAGTTGGGTAAATCCTGACAGATGAACTGTCGTTCCCGACAGTTAGCTGCAGGCATTCTCGAAAGATGACAGATGCCACTGTCTGGCAGAGTGCAGTCATCTGTCGACACAGGCTTCGGTGACAGTGTTTCGACACATAACTGTGAGCACTGACGACATTGCACATGCGTTGATAAAGAACATGTGTGTCCAACATTCATATCTCATTACCGCACGTATTTTTGCACATTCAAAAAAAATTTGGTAACATTTTTTTTAAGTTGAAGATTGTATGCACAATTCGCCATAATAAATGTTTAGTGCAAGTTTGGGTAGTGATCTGTTCTTAGACGTTTCTCGTATTACTTGTTCCGATTGATGTGGTTGTATGCTCTTCGGAAGTACGCTTGTTATTCGCAACTCCTGCCTTAGGTTTCTTACTGACGTTTCGGAGATCCAGTTTTTCGCTCAACTAATCCAGGCACTGGTGTGCCGAGGGATTCGTTGCGATAAGTCCCACGAGTTGTGGTTCAACGTGTAGGGCCACCTTACCCGGTTTGGACTGCAGGAGTATGCTGTCGTCACTAGACTGCATGCTAGGTCATTTCCGGAGGGCGATCGGTACACAATGGCATTGGAGAAGAGGAGGCTGAAGGAAAAGTATTTCAAATCACTGGAGAAGATTTCATATGCCAAGTTGGAGAAGACCTTTGTCCACGCGTCGAAACCCCAGGTAGATAGATACAAGCTCGAGCTTGCTTTAATTGTGGAAGGAGTTATCACTGCTCCGGACAACAATGTTGGCATTGATGAGGATACGCTTTCCCTCGTCGACGGCTTGGAGCTTTTTTTTTCCTACCCCTAGGCCAAAGTAGGGTATAGGCGTTTGTTGAAGGGATTACGATGTACTTGGGTACGTAAAATGAGCGATGCAAAGACGAAGAACGAGAAGGACATCAGTTATACAATTCACGAATTTTCGATCGCCATACAAGTAAGAACAGCATTAAGTTTATGTTTTTTGTTTATAAGTATTAGAACATGTCTCCACATTCTTTGGATAAATAGTTATGCGACAATTTTTTTGTTTTCGTCCGGGCAGATTTGGGCATATGAGGCCGTGCCCAAACTCGACGAATGCTTCGGTCAACGAGTGGGTGAATGATCACCCCAACTTCTGTGCTAGACCTCTACTAAACAATTGCAACAGCGTACGTACGATGCGTTCTTCAGGGACGTACAGGTTATGGACATTTTTCATTTCCCTTTCAATTATTTTATTTTTTTGGGAATATTATGCATTATATTTTAACTACCCATTCTCCTCTGTTTCTATAGTTGCACGTGCATGCCACACTGCGTCCCACGGAGGTCGAGCGTGATCTCCCATACATCGCCAGTTTGGTGCCATTCCCCGACCGTCCAGTGCAATTTTTGGACGACCTCACTAGGAGTGTTGTCGGGCCACATTTCCATGAGGAGGCACTGACCAGTGGGGGACATAACGGTAGCGCTGCGGGTGACGACCATGACGACGAGTTCGGTGCAGGGGTCGAGGACGATGAGACATCCGCGAGCGATGATCGTCAGACACCGGAGGGAAATGATGACGATGGGTCTAAGGCTGATGTGAGTGGAGACAGCAGTTGCAAGACTGGTGCTGGTGACACCGAGGATGACAAGGATTCCTCAGGACGGCAGTCGGGTGCATTATCCACTCCAATGGTTGCCCCATCCAAATTTGGGCGGTAGGGTACGCGTGGTGGACCGACTGTGACGAGGGAGGACGTGGAGGGCATATTGTTGGACGAGCGCATCCTCATCGAGATGAGGTTGCAGACCGTGAAGCTTGAAATCATGCAGCACATGAGTTTGCCAGACTGAGGGACTTCATATCTACCTTGGTGCTCCGGTCCGGTAGCACCTCCACTTTCGCTGCAGCTCTTGTTGTGAATGAGCCAAAAATTTGGAACGACCCCCACGAAGGTATGAGTTTATGTTACTACAACTTTCACTTACAACGTGTATGCAGAGCTGTGCAATTTTTTCTATGCGTTCGTTTACAAATGTAATTTTTTAATTCCAAAATTACTTAGATGTACATAGAGGAGACATGGACCTGTGCCCAGATGACGGCGGCCTTCCTTCGCCTACCAGGAACTTGGAAGTAAATGGTATGTTGGTTAGTTATGTGTAATATATATTTGTATTTGATGTCATCTCATCTCCTCATATGCAACTGTATTCCATTTAAGTTCTTTAGTAATTTTTTTTTGTCTTCCAATTAGACGGGGAAGGTAGCGACGAGCAGAGCCCACATGACGATGACCATACAGAGGAGGCTGAAATGCAAGAGGTTAATGGTATGTACGTAATTTTTGTATTTTATGTCATCTCATCTCGTGATATGCAAATGTATTCAATTTCACTCCTTCAATAATTTTTTCTTTGTTTCCAAGTAGCTAGGGAAGACAGCGACGAACGGAGCCTACACGATGACGACCATGCAGACGAGGGTGAAATGCAGGAAGTGAACGGTACGTGCGTAAATTTTTTCAACTTTTGTGATTTGGGTTACATTACCAATCTCTTCCCCTAACACAAATGATAATTCATATCTTGTGTTTGTCCATTTCACCCAATTTGCTTTCAACTAGACCTCAGAGCGACCATCCCCACAATCCCCAGCGACGACAAGAAGGAAGGCCTATCGACCCATGACGTCACGGAGGTGGACGGTACGTGCCTATTTTCCTTGAATAATCTTATTTCACGACCATGTGGCCTCCTGCACACATAACCGTTTCACTAAAATTCTAAAATTTTTTATATGGGGGCTGCCACAGAGTTGCCGACAAGGTGACCGTACCAAAAAAGAGAGGCAATGTGGGCAGCACAAACAGACGACGATCGACTCGTGTTCGTCGTCCTGCACCACCTACCCGGACTCCATACACAAGGGGAAAGGCAAAGAGAGTAAAGAAATAAGTGAGTTTAAGTAGTCCGGTAAGGTGTGTTGTAGTAGTAGATATGTTGTTCGTAACAAGGACATGCTTTTAATTTGGTTAGTTTTATGCAGGAGGTGAACGGTACGTGCGTGAATTTTTTCAACTTTTGTGATTTGGGTTATATTACCAATCTCTTCCCCCTAACACAAATGATAATTCATATCTTGTGTTTGTCCATTTCACCCAATTTGCTTTCAACTAGACCTCGGAGCGACCGTCCCCACAATCCCCAGCGACGACAAGGAGGAAGGCCTATCGACCCATGACGTCACGGAGGTGGACGGTACGTGCCTATTTTCCTTGAATAATCTTATTCCACGACCATGTGGCCTCCTGCACACATAACTGTTTCACTAAAATTCTGAAATTTTTTATATGGGGGCTGCCACAGAGTTGTCGGCAAGGTGACCGTACCAAAAAAGAGAGGCAATGTGGGCAGCACAAACAAACGGCGATCAACTCGTGTTCGTCGTCATGCACCACCTACCCGAATTCCATACACGAGGGGAAAGGCAAAGAGAGTAAAGAAATAAGTGAGTTCAAGTAGTCCGGTAAGGTGTGTTGTAGTAGTAGATACGTTGTTCGTAACAAGGACATGCTTTTAATTTGGTTAGTTTTATGGATGGATACGTTTGCTCAGCCATATGCTACATGTTAAACTGTCTTATGTAGAGTACATATCATTTTGCGATAATAAATGTTTAGTGCAAGCATGTGATGGTATTGTCGATCAATTTTGTGTGTATGCGTTGACAAAGTAATGCATGTATTGTTCATGAAATGTGAAAGGGTAGATCAACATCAGAACTAAAATGAATATATCATCATTCTTATACATCCCAGTCATATGATTTGTCAAGACGAACTGACGAGTTTTCCTATCAGAGTCTTCACAAAAATCTGCATGCCTCCTCTTAACCTCAGCACCAAGTGCAGAGTTGACTCCGTCTGAGTGTTATAGTTTGCCAATGTTCGGTTGTCCTCAAGCTGTTTGCCAGTGAAGATCAGCCTCTCTTGGTCTGGTAGGATTCCCTCCTTGTCCTGAATTGTAGCTTTAACGTTATCAATGGTGTCGGAGCTGTCACCTTCACGGGTTATTGTCTTCCCAGTAAGGGTTTTGACAAAAATCTGCCTGCCATGACCAAGCCTCAACACCAAGTGGAGTGTGGACTCCTTATGAATGTTATAGTATGCCAAACTACGACCATCCTCAAGCTATTTTCCAGCGAAATGAGCATCTGTTGGTCTGGTGGGATGCCTTCCTTGTCATGTATCTTGGTTTCACCATTATATTTATGGCATGTATTGTTTATGATATGTGAAAGGGTTGTTCATTTTTTGGTGATTAGATTGCATGCACGTTTCCTATTCCATGGGTGAGTTAATTTTTTGGTCTTTACGTTGATTGGATAGATAGTTACGAACATTCTCTGCTGTGCCATTTCACATTAGACACACTTGATGCAGGTAGGCAGCCGATTCATTCGGAGGGATGGTTTTTGAGTTGATCATGTGTGTTCATCGGGGTGTGATAACGAATTTTTGCAGAATGATGAAGAGTACAAACAAAATGAAGGCTGAGACTAAATCAAGAGGTGTAGTGATTAGCACCAAAAAATAGCCAAAGGAACCCAAACCTGGGTTCATGCCTGAAGGTGCAACTGCGAAAACTATTACCCCTATTCCATATGATGTGGTTAATGATCTCAAGGGGGATTATGAGATTACTTCAACTCCATATTGGGATATG